CAGGATTAATTCCAGATCTCAGAATATTAAAGAACTGTAAGAGGCCTCAAAATTCCCCCAGTAGAGGATATCCTACATCCCCCAAAACCTTTACAGGCACCTGAACCTCGGCCTGGCCCAGACCTAGCTATGGGCTCAAGATGCTGCAGGGGGCTCTCCTACAGTTCAGGGGAGCAGCACAGCTCCCTTCCCCCACCTCCCCAGACACCAGATGGTCCCAGCAGGATGTGCAAGGCCTCATTTTAAATGGATTATTTACCTCTATCTTTTCTAAGCATTCTTAGAAAAGCTTAGGGAGGTCCTATTTTAAATATTTTAAGCAGATGGGTCTAAGGTGATATTAAAAACAATAGATAATATTCTAAAGAGACAAAAGGTAATGATGGTAAATCACTAGCACCTGTTATCATCTACCTGAGTTCTAGAAAAATTTAAAGGCTAATCTCTGTCTAATACACTCACTGATGAAGAGGCCTAAGAGATCATTAATGTGACTAATATTCTTAAGGTTTACAAAATGTGATGTTAACTACAGACAAGTGACACTAAGTTTTAAATCAGGGGAAGCTGCTAAGATACACAAAAATAAGATTCTTACATATATCATAGGGGAGACAATATGGTTTCTGTAGAAGAAGCCATACATGGCATACATTAGGTTTTCATAGAAAAGTGAGCTATCATGATGGCAAGACGAAAAGTGTGGAATTATACACTAATTTTCTCAAAAAGCCTTTGCGAGGCTCTTACACACTTTTAACTGTCCCACTATAGACCAAGGAGGCCTAAACAGGGAAGGGAGGACTCAAACACCACCTACTGAGCTAGAAATCATAAAGATTCCATTAATTACTGCCTGAATGAAGGGCTTCCAGCTAGATTTTCAACTTGCAAATGACAGAACCCTCACTGGAGGCCAAAAATGGGAAGATCTCAGGAGACTGTGTAAATCAACAAACAAAAAGGAGCTTGAAAGCTGGCTGACTCTATATTTAAGAAAATATATTTTCTTAAACTGAGGGATATATTTAAGAAAAAAATAGTCTATCTAATTCATACCTAGTAACAGGAACTGCCATTTATGGGCCAAAAATGGACATGGACCCTCACAACAAGGGCTACAGAACCACTATTGGCAAATGATGAACAGAATTTGATTATATAGAATATAATGTTTCTCCTACCCTTCTGCAAAAACTTACTTTGGCCACTTCCAAGTTGGCATCAGAAGCAGGAGGAGGAAAAAGAAAAAAAGAAAAAAACAAGCTCTGAGTAATGAAAACTAAGAGAAGAGGAGCTGGTGAGGAGAAGCCACTGTATGAAATGCATTTTTAACATGAGGGTTTGGCAACCAACAGAGGTGCTGACCAAGAAATATATGTTTCAATATTTAATATCATGAAAGAATAAAGTCAACACAGGGTTGAACATCAAATTCTAAAACATCATACCTAGGAGGCTGACTCTGAAGCTAGAAAAGACAGCGCTGAGGACCAAAAGAATGAGAAGATCTTACCAAGAGATTATAAACTTATGAAAATCATCCCAAGAATTAGTATACTAGGACACTGGGACCCTGAATATAAAGAACAGCAGAAAGAAGAATCGTTTAAGAAGCTAAAAGCCTATTTCTAGGTGAACAGGCCTGCATATGCCACTCTGAAGGCAAATTTAACCTTGCAAGTCACTGACCTTTAATCATGTTTGGATTTTTTCCAGGAAAAGGAGACATTTACTCAGAAGATTCAGGATAGAAAGGGTTTTTTTTCAAGGTGTTCATACTTATCCAAAGGGATAAGGACAAGCTTCTGGACAAACATTTTACGTCATCGGTCTCCTCAGCCTCTCCCCATCATTCAAAACATTAAATTCTTCAGTCCTCTTTATTACATATTCTATTTTCAATTGCCTGAGCTTTCCTGATATCCCCTTAAATACAAAAAGAGAAAAGAAGGAAGGGAGGGGAAGTAGGGAATACAGACTTGGTTTATTGGGTCTCTGCTTTTCCAGGTAATCTCCAGACAAATCTGAGAGATTACCTTGCACACCAAATTTGCCCAGGCTCTTCCAGATATTAATACTCTGATTAACACCTATTGGAGCAGTACAACACTGAAACAGGATACCTCAGTCTCTGTTCTGGAATGACTTCCTGCAGCATCAGCTTCCCAGTGTCCCTTAGGAAGGGAACTGAACTAGAGAGAGTAAGATTGCAAACTCAGGTAGCCACCTGAGTGTACTATGTACTATGTACTATGTACTATGTACTATGCTGAAGAACGACAATCAGATATTTCTTTGAATTATCTGCATCTTTGTGTTTATCTATATATAGAGAGAGATTAATTACCTAAATTCTGTCCTAATGGATTCGACTATATAAATATATCTGAAGTTACACTGCACTAACTTACCTACTTTCACTTATACCAAAATGCTTTCTAAGTGAAAGTTCAATTAACACAAGGCTTCCTTTCTGTCCAATAGTTTCATGAACTTGAAATTAGAGTTCTCATAGGTATAAAAATTATAGTATTTCACAAATATATTAAGAATGGCACAGTTATAACAATTTATATTAAGAATATTTCTTCTTGGTTAACATTACTGGTTAAAATAGAAATTTGTAGATAAGGGATGAAGATTAATATTTATAGTCTATAGATACTGAGAAGGAATTGAGAACTAACTAGTACCAACAGTGGTAATCTATTACTGGGATAAACATTAAAAAGCAGGTATGATACCTATATTCAAAGACTTTATATTGTAATTGGGTTTGGAAAAGATGAAACTATCTTCTTAGTCATTTCATGCTTATCAGATATGAAAGTCCCTGCACTTCTATTGGTCTCGATTCTAGGTAAACCTGGACTAATTTCTATTGTTTGCATTTCAAGGAAGGCCTCCAAAAGGCCAGCTAAGGATACAACGTCATTATTTTATCTATCTATCTACCTAATTGCATGCCAGATTTTGCTGACAAGAGACTTCAAATCAAGTTCTGGTTAATCTTAACAACCATTTGACCTTGGGGAGCATCTGTTTTCCTATCTGTGTAATGGGAAGATTAACAAGTTTCACCATATTGGGCTGTGTGTTGATCTAAAATAATGTACTAAAAAGTGCTTAAAATCTATAAAGCTATAAGAGAAGTTCAGAAAGGACACTTTATGGCCCATGCCCTCCACTCTGCTCTTTGGAAAGGGCAGATCAAAGATGCCCCAGAATCTCGAGAGCACCCTCTCTGGCTTTTGTGTGGCTTTCTTTCACAGATCCATCCTCATATTTCTTATTTTAGTGACCTTTTTTTGACTCTTATTTTGGGAGTTCAATGTACTATTTTTTTTTCCTGTTATTACAACTTTTACTGTCTTATACAGTGCCAAAAGGAAGGCCACCAAAAAAAAAAAAAAAAAAAATTGCCACTCTTTAGCCAAGATGGAAAATTAAAACCTTTCATGTCACTAAATTTAAAAAGCAGGGTTGATCATTTAAAAAGTGATCTCAGATTTTAGATAAATTTCTCAGCTTTCCACTTGGGTCATTCTTATTTCTCTTTCATTATACACATACAATATACACATAGACACAGGTATGCCTCTTGTACTCAAAGGTTATGCTCTAAAATAAACCAGTATTAAAGGAAAAGCAAAACTTAAATGCTCTTAAAGTTTTTTTTTCTTGCTCTAGATGTTTATTTGCTGAGGATAATAAACATTCATGCTTGAGGCAGATTTCAATACACATGGTGCAACCACTTAAATTTAAAAAATTGAAAACATTCTTAAATAGAAAAAACTAGTTATGTTCACAGAACCTTATTCTGGACAATTTCTAATATAAGATAAGCCTTAAAAACATACTTTCTGAAATGGTACTAGCTAGTTTTTGACACTTCTTATATTCATATTTGAAATTAATGATTTTTAAAAAGCATAAACTTTTTCTTGAATCTGTATAGAAAACTGTATTTTCCTGAAATCAGGCCAATGTATACATATGCACTGTTTTTTCATATTAATAGCTGGTCGCATCTTTCATACAACAGAACCTCAGAATAGGTGTTTTCCTAGACAATTTTTAGAAATACCACGTCATTACTTTACCTAAAACAAGAAAATACACAATTTTCACCCAGTTGCAAACATGATTCAAAATTAATTCCTCAGTAAAAAGTATGTTTGGGGAGTTGTATGGTACTGAATTCTGGTTGTCCAGCCACTAGTCATCCATCACAGCAGAAAGGTGTCTTGTTCCACAAACCATCAGGGAAGGCCCGAGAAACTTCTGGTGGGATAGACTGAGTGTTAAAGGTGAGAGGAGGAAACTTATAAACAAAATAGAACTAAATCAGAATCCCGAGTTCCAGACTGACCAGTTTCTGCTAAGCTACCCTAAGTTTTGAATAATCATGTCCAGTAAGCGCGCATGAAGAAAGATCTGATAACGTGCGCAGACACTCATAGGCCCCTGGTCAAAGCAATGTGTCATCAACGGTACAAATTAACAAGGGAATTTCCAGCATTTTCCTTCACCGTGTGCACTTCTTCCTTTGGGACCAAGAAAGGTTCAGTCAGGTTTACCTGGCTATGAAAGGGAAAGAAATCGCAGTCACATCCCGACCCAGCCCGCACAGAATCCACAGACACGGAGGAACTCTGGATGCTTTGCCCACTCCCTTCCCTTCTGCTTCGCCAAAGCCCACACCTCTAGAGACGGGACAGAACGTGCCTTTAGCGTACAAACAACTCTGTGAAGTCGGCTCCAACAACCCTTGTAACCTTCCTTCCGAAGTCAGTCGTGAGTCCACTATGAATTCGGTTCACCTCAACCTCAAGTCCGCAGGGCCAGGAACCTGGAGGCCCCCGGAGTGCCGGGACACTGCGCTCACGTGGTCACCGGCTGCTGCACGTGCGGCTGCGACCTGAGGCGGCGGGAGGGAAGCACCGCCCCGAGCGGGAGGGGAGAACCGCTGAGGCGCTGGACGCGTGGGGGAGAGGGGAAGGTCCCGGGCCGATCCCGGACGGACGAGGAGAAGCTGAGCTTCAGGCCGTGCAGGTCAAACTGCAGTTCCCGGGGTGTGTACACAGGAAGGAAGGCGCAAGTTTGGATGGGGTAACAACTTGGAGCTTTTTTTTTTTTTTTTTTTTTTAAGGTTTATTTTAAATGGGCAAAAGCATTTGAATTCCATCTAGCGTGGGAGTTTCCAAGGTCGTCACAATACCCTTCTCGCCTGCATCCCACACTTGAGATCCCTGGCAAAAGAGGGAGCAAAGGTGTCCCAAGGTGGCAATTCCATCCCCGCCCATCTTTTGGGGAACTCTAACCAACTCGGTCTCAGGCGAACATTGGGGAACCGCACCCTGGAACAAAGAGGAGGTGTAGTCCCCTCCAGATGCCTATAGCCCGCTGAGTGCTGGTATTTAAAACCCACGGCAAGCCAGCTGTGTTTACGGCTTATTCCATTTTGCTGGGGGAGGGGAAGGGAATCCGAACTCTGGACATTTTTCCCAAACTGGGAGCCGGGAGCTTGGCATGCGATCCCACTAGCACAGAACTCCAGTCAACTCGGGCCGTGGCGAGTGGGGGTGGGGAGGAGAAGGAAAGGAGGGCAAGGATGGAGCGACGGAGGGGCTGGTGAGAGAGAGAAGGAAACAGGTGAGCTCCCACCGCCAGCCCTCGGAAATCCAGCGCGGCAGCCCCCCGCACGCCACAGTCCCGACGTGGAGAGGCACTTACCGGCTTTACAAGGGTCCTTGTAGTCTATCGTCTCCGCTTTATCCTCTTCGTTCCCATCAAAAGTGTAGTCATAATCGAGTCCAGCGCAGACCCAAAGCTCCCCGTAGAAAACAATCCCCGAGGCCACCAGCCACACGAGCATCCTCGGGGGAAGCGTTTCCAACCCCATCCTCCTCCCCTGGAGGAAAAGGAAGGGACGGGACCGGGAGGTGAGGCGTCCGCGGTCCGCGCTGATGTGCGGCGCGAAGGGAACCGGTGCTCCCCTCCCTGCCGGGAGGCTCCTCAGGGACACTGGGGTGTTCAGGTGTCCGGAGACATACGGGTGCCGTCGGGACAGTAGAGAGGGCAAGAAGTGCCTGTTACCCCCCAGTTGCAGGGAGAAGTTGGCTAGCGGCGTGCGGGTGGGCGGAGGGCAGGTGAGGAGCTCGGCTCCCGGAGACGGGGAGGGGCAGCTGCGGGCAAACTCGGCTCTGGCGGAGCGGGCGCTCGCTGCCTGCCAGGTCGTCCTTCTAGCGGCCGAACTTTCCGCGGCCGCGGCTGGGCGAGCGGCGCCCCGCCGGCTCAGCGGCCACCGAAGCTCCGGCTCCCGCGCCGCGCCCCCGCCGCTGCCAGGACCCGGAGGTAGAGCCCGAGCTGCCGCCGCCGCCTGCGCCCGCCGCCGCCGCCGCCGCCGCCGCCGCCGCCGCCGCTCGGGGAAGATGAATCCGGTCTGCACATCAGCACATCTGAACTGAAAGGGGAGACCGAGGAAGGGGGTGGGGGGCAGGCATTTCTATGCCGCGAGACCTTAGAAGCCTGTAGAAGCCAGCAGAGCAACTGACTGAAAAGAGCAAAAGTGTGAGGATTTGGGGATGCACCGTTTGCCTGCCCCCCCACCCCGTCTTTTTACCCTCTTCCTAACTTGAAAAAAAAAAATCTTCGCAGCATCTAACCCAATCACTTGCATCCTGCTTACTTATTCATACAATCAGGGTCAGGATCCGGGCCACAGCCTCCTCTCTGACTTCTTTTGATAGCCTTATACAAACAAACAGACACGAGCGCGCTGACAATTCCATTTATATTCTACTAAAGATAAAAATGAATATATCATGTATCTGCGTCCGCGAACAACATTTAATAGATGATGTACGTGTAGCCAAGAGTGCCAGACCGGGGGTGGCGCGAGGGATCGTGATAACTTAGCTGCAAACCTTTACTTCCCCTCCCCCCAAATAAACAGCGGGTGTGTGTTTCTTTCCTTTGCTGCGGTTTAACCTTAGTGCAGCCCGGGCATGGAGGAAAAGTGTCTGAGCCTTCGTGACTTGGCTAAGGAAATAGACTGCTTTAAAAGTCCCCCAAGCAACAAAGTTTTGCTAAGAAGTAAGATCCCCAGAACTGCAATTAAAAAAAAAAAAAAAATCCAAAATCAAGTTACAGATTGCAGCAGCAGGAAACGCTAAGACCTTGCTGATGGGCTGGCGCTATGGCTCACGTGGGCGCAGGAAGGGAAGTTGGAAGGAATACTCGGGAAGCAAATTTTCTGTGACAGTTCTGGCGCCCATGCCCGGAGTTGCTCAGTATCCTTCGGCTTCAGTTGTTTTACTTCTGAGGAGAGCGTGTAAAACCTGGCAGCAGGATCAGCGAGGTAAACCACATGTCAGCCTAGCAGACGCAAGACAAACACAGGTTGTGGGAAATTGGGGAGGAAAAAAATCAGAGGAAATCTCTGCAAAACCCCTGTTGTGAGCAATTCAGTGGTTTCCCCACATCTGCAAGTAGTTTCCAAAATAGGTGAGAGGACTTCTCCTCCCCCAGACTGGTGATTGGGAGACTTGCCTTTCCAACTAAATCTTGAACTGTCATTTTAGCAGGGACTTGTAAAAAAATCTTGTTACCTTTACATCTTTATTTAACATTGAAGTGTCCCCCTTTTCCAAGTAACCATCAGTATACAGTATCATCTAAAGGAAAATAGGAAAGTAACCACCCTCCCATCCACAACATACTTTTGACAGGGTAGACCCAGTTAGCTTAGGGGATTTGACCAGGTTTTATGGTTGTTAAAGAAAAATTGGAGGCTAAACTTGAAGAAGTGTCATCTATTTCCCACTTAAACTAAGACTAAAAGGATGGGAGGACTAGGTAGGACTGATTTGATATTCCTGGCAAAGCTGGGGCTTTCTCAGAGGCCAATGCAGTAATGGAGCCTTCCTTCTGTAGATCTCAAACTTGTAACCCCAAGTCACAGAACAGAGAGCAGATCTGAAAAGAACATGTTCAATAAGTAGGTAGAGGTATTTGGTTTTGAAATCTCTTGCTGAGTCATTGTCAAGTTCTTTTACCCATCCAAAAAAAAAAAAAAAAGGTTTGCATAATTAATAATGGTGTTGCTCTAGTGCAGGGCTAAACAAGAATGTATTCTGCTTACCCCATCTGAAAGCCCAGAAAATGCAACTTTCCTTTCGAAGATTCTTGCTCTTGGGCTGCTGAAACCATCGTACTTACTATCCCCAAACCTTGAAAATGACCCTTGTTAATCCAAAGGACTGCAAGTATCTCCTTAGACTATTTTATGAAAGGTAAGTTTGCAAGACTTTGTACCTGGTGATTTTCTAAGCATCACTGATTTTGTAGGAATTAGTATGTTCATTCATTTTTCCTGGAAAAAAAAAATAGTAACATATAGGGACATCTGCTTCCTTATATAATGGTGCCTATTATGGATTCCTTACAGAACTTATCATTGCTTTTATAAATTTACATTCTAGATTTAGAATGATTGACAGAGTAAAACCTCAAATCAAAATATAGAAATGTTTCTTTATGGCTAAAATAGCTGTGGAGAATAGTCATTTACACCACAATATCCTAGGCCTCAATCCCTGATTTACTTACATAATTTTAAAATATTTATTAAATCTAACTCTATAGTAATAAAATACCTACCTTTAACTTTTATTTCTGTAGTTGCTATGATTGCAAACTAACCATAGATTTTGCCCTGTCTATTAAAAAAACATAAATTTGCAAGAATTTAAAGAAAACAAAAAACAAGAAAATGCATATGAGCAAAGAGTTGAAGGCTCAGTCAGAACGTAGCCAAAAACGTGTGCAGTATGTGAATCTAATCTCCTCAGGAAGATAAAAAGAGGTGATTGATTGCTTTAGTAAGATGTGCTGAAGTAACCTTGACTTCTAGCTGGCAGCTGCTTCTGACCACCTCACCACCTGCAGCAGGACCCCATCAACCCCCAGCAATGCAGGGAATAAAACCACCAAGAGAGTTGAAGCAATAGGTAACTCTAGTCTGCTATCCCAGTAATTAAAATAAACTTGCCCTGTGGATAATGTGAATTAGAAATGTGTATTTTGGAGGCGCCTAGATGGCGCAGTGGTTAAGCATCTGACCCTTGATATCGGCTCAGGTCAGGATCTCAGGGTCCTGTGATGGAGCCCGGGTCTACTCTGCACTCAGGAGGAATCTGCTTGAGATTCCCTCCCTCTCCCTCTGCTGCTTCTCCACACCCTGCAATCTCTCCCTTTCTCTCTCTCTCTCTCTCTCTCTCTCCCTCTGCCCCTTCCCCCCTCCCTCCCGCTCTCTCCCCCTCTCTCCCTTTCCCTCTGCCCCCTCCCCATGCTCTTTCATTCTCTCCCCCTGTGCTGCTCCCCCATGCTATCTCCCTTTCTCTCTCCCTCTCCCTCTGTCCCTCCCACTCATGTTCTTTCTCAAGTAAATAAATAAATCTTAAAAAAAAAAAAAAAGATTTATTTGAGAGAGGGAGAGAACACATGCAAGAGGATAAGCAAGGGGAGGGGCAGAGGGAGAAGTAGACTCTCTACTGAGCAGGGAGCCAGATGAGGAGCTCTATCCCAGAACCCTAGGATCATGACCTGAGCCTAAAGCAGACACTTAACAAATGAGCCACCCAGGTGTCTCACTTTGAAAGAAAGAAAGAAAGAGAGAGAAAGAAAGGAAGGAAGAAGAAATGTCTATTTCTTTAATCTAGCCATTTTGTGAAAAGCTAGTTGTTATTGTTTTTTGTTATGAAACCAAGTAATACATGAATATATCCTTCTCATGGCCCTTGTTTAAAAAAATGATAATTCAGATGAGAGTGGAATAAAATGTGTTTCTGTCTCTCCCTTGGTCTCATTCCCCCTTGTCTAAAGTAAAAACTATTAACCTGTTAACCAATAGTATTTACAGAGAGACTGATTCCTATGAAATTGTCTTATCTGTAGATTAAAAACAGCAAATACTGACAATTTCATATGGTTCAAACTATTACTTCAAAGCTTAAAAAAACTCCTGATTTGTATTAATGCTACTGTTCATCTGAGCTAAATTATATACATCTCAATTAAATATTTTTTTAAACACTTTATTTATTTATTTGATAGAGAGAGATCACAAGTAGGCAGAACAATAGGCAGAGAGAGAGAGAGGGAACAGGCTCCCTGTTGAGCAGAGAGCCCAATGTGGGGCTCGATCCCAGGACCCTGAGATCATGACCTGAGCCGAAGGCAGAGGCTTAACCCACTGAGCCACCCAGGCGCCCTACAATTAAATATTTTTAAATGAGAAGATGATTCTCAGGACCTAAATGGCCTCTGGCTTCCACATTTTTAATTGAACATTCTATGATTTTTTATATCACATTGTCTCATATGTCACTATTTCAGGATGCTCCCAACTCTTGGTAATTAGGATGACACTACATTCAATCAAAATGTCTTTATTGCTGTTTCCTAAGTAACAAATATAGGGTCAGAGACAGAATGAAAAAATGAACAGAAGGTAGTATTTGCTTCACAACAAAAGTGTTACAGAAGATGTTTGTTTGTTTGTTTGTTAAGAAAAAGACATACACCTCCCCCAGGAAATGAAATAATAATAATAATAATAATAATAATAAACCTTCCTCCTGCAATGGATTCTGGTCTGAGTACAGCCCACTGACCTAAGAGTCTCTCGTTATTCCTTGGTACTTGCTAGTTTGCTGTACTACGTTCTTCTCTAGCATATCCTCACTGTGGGGGACAGAGATCCCCTTTGTTGTTATGGCTTTTAGCCACTCCAGACCTTTTAACTCTTTCTTTCACCCCATTCATATGTGACCGTCTACAGCGCACATAATGCTGTATCTTAGGGTCTTTCTTTCCTCTTCTTTCCTCTTAGGGTCTCTCTCTCTCTCTCTCTCTTTCTCAGCCCTGAGCAAAGCAATATAGCATCTCTTAATTCTACTTCAATGTCCTAAGGTGTGGTAAAACTCCCGATACCACATGAGATCATTTTAGTTAACATAGTGATAAACTTCTTTAAAAAAAAAAAGGAACAGGTACATATGTGTGTATATTATATATACATATATTACTAAAACTAATTATTAACAAATTTGCAATTGCATATGTTTCTCATGCCACTTAGGTTAAAAAAAAACAAGTTTGTTGCTTTATGAAATTAAGTCAATAAGAAAGGTGGCACATGAAGGTTAACCGATGTTTGGTAAACACTGATCTAATTTAATTCCTAAGTCCCCTTAAAACCTCACGCTCTCTGTGGACAACAACTTTTTTGCCCCTTCCGCACAGCAAACCTCAGTCTGTTGCCTCTCTTGCTTACTTATCACTCACTCTCATTTCCAGGAGCGCAATGGGGAAAGGCTATGTTTGGACACGGGAGCCGCATGTTATTTACCGTTAGCACTTTCAGGTAGTTCTCTTAAGTTCGTACTTGGTATTTCAGTCTCAGGAAGAGCCACTAACTTGTTTGTTCAGAAAGCAAGTATTATTGCCTAAGGACATCTGGAAATGATCGCATTCTTCATTCAGGCATCAGCTCACCAACAGGAAATGGAGGGAATGGGATGGAGTAAGAGGGAAGAAAGTCATCTCATTTCTCACCTGGTGGGACACTACTTTTGAGTCTGCCGACAGATATTCAATTGTGGGACATCTAGGCCTGCACTGAATCCTCACTGTTTTCCCCAGAATACCTAGCTAGGGAGGCACAAAAGGATGGAGCTCCGAAATCGTCCCCCAATCAGAACTCCAACACTCTGCTTCCTAGCTGGGTAATGGTAACTTTGAACCCACTTTTTTAAGCTCATCTGTCCTCACCTTCTTCATCCATAAAACAGGGATAATCTTAAGGGTAGTGACATTTCATGGAGTTGTTACAAGAATTAAGTTAGTTAGTATGTGTGGTGTGCTTTACAGTTTCTGTAGGTAGTGCATTTCTGGTGTGTGTTAGCTATTATCATCATCTTAAGTGAGTTCCTAAAAGTCAAACTATTTCCAGCCCCTGTAAATATATTATTTGAAGAGAGCATTCTTGTCCTTCACTTTGAACTAAATGGTATAATTCTAAGGTAGCATAACTGATTCAAGGTTGGAGAGAGGCAAGGGACAGACTGGTTAAGAGCATAGGTTTCACTAGCAGAAAAAGTCTTTGTCATCTAGCAGCTGTTTTGCCTCTGGCGTATTACTTCCCTAGCTTTACTCTCCTGGTTTTTGAAACAAGAATAAAATACCTCATAGGGTTGAAATCAGAATTAAGTAAGATTATGCATGCAGTGTATTTTTGGTAGGTGTAAGCATATTTTAAAAGGTGGTTATTATTATTAAGTGGCATTCTTCTAGTGATCTATGGGAAAAATTTGTACACTGTGAGCTTTTCCACTGTCATGCAAAAAATTCATACACACACACACACACACACACACACCAGTGTACAAATTAAATAAAGCTAGGACAGTTTTATTTGAAAAATCCCACTAATTCAAAACATATCAAATTGAAGTAAAGATTTAGGTGACATTGCTGGTGTTGCTTATAAAGTCCCCAATAATATATACCTGTGACCAGCATCTAGAATGCCCTTCACTTGGCCATTATATGTCCCCTCAGTTTCATATTTTCATATTATGAACATGAGGTAAGTCTCCCCATTTTTCCTACCTACCAATTCCCCTATCAAATAAAATGTGTACTTCATTGCATTCTTCTTTCCCACAAAGATTAAAAAATAGGCACTGAAGGCTTCAATAGGACAGACTATATATGTCCAATGCAATGAGAATAACTTAATTTTAAAAACAAAATAATTAAGCAATATCAGCTTCTTGTGAGAAAGAAATACCCAAACTTCATAAGGACCTTTATCCAAGTCAATCACTTGCCAACGTTCTTCCGATCTTATGCTATTATAAAGATAAGGGGTAAGAGAATGAGTGCGTCATCCATGAACACACTACTGTCCCCTCATAACCTCTGATCCTCCACTGGCTCCCGCAGCTGTCTGCCGCTTGGGGGTAATCCTGCTAATCCTGCGGACCAGTGATGGGCAGTGAGAACCGCATGTATAATAGTAGCCAAGAGCCTCTGGCCCCAGCTAAAGCCCCCAGCCTTTCTTCAAACCTTATTTTGCATAGTATCCCTCTTGATTCCCCAGATTACATTCTAGACAGAAGCGTCTCTACTCTGCCTTGCATTCG